GTTGTTCCTGTCTGGACTTATTGGCTTTTAAACATTTCGCCAGAAAGTGCCCTGCAGTTCTAGAACAAGCCGCTAGGGGGCCCAAACTCATATGACTTCTTCCCAAGCACGAGAGCTACCTTCCATCAAAATTTCATGACCCTAGCATGTCCAGATCGCGAGATATCAAAACCGGAAGTTGCGCTGCAGTACCAAGGGAAGCCACTAGGGGGACCAAAATCTAATCATTTCTAGTTTTCGTCACACCCTACCAACACACCAAGTATGAAACCAATCCATCTAGGCGTTCTTGAGTTATCTTGTTGACCAACAGACAGACAGACAGACAGACGGACAGACGGACAGATAAACGCAACTGAAAATACTAGAGTTCGATGATCTCATACCTCCATGACAGGTGCGTTGCTTTCATAAATCTTACGCATGGTGATGACCACCTGTAAATGGCTTACATTTACAATGCTGCTCATTAGCAAAATTTTTATTTGCTATTTATTCACATAGCCTCTACCTAGTAACATGCAGCACACTGGTGAAATCTTTATCATTTGGCATGGACAACGTATGATGTTGTTGGTTATATGGAAGCACGACCTCTGACATATCTTTGCCAACTCATGTTTGCCTTCCAAGCTGACTAATTATACATTTTTCACCGCAAATATTCAAATTATATGAGGCCATTTGCATATATTGTTCAGTTGATCATACTCTCCACCAAATGACAGGGCTATCTTAAAAAATAAGGCTATTCTAGCGTTTCCTCATAAATTATGCAAATGAGGTCCTGATTGAAATAAATTATGTTTAGTGATGTTCACCTTCACTGAACTTCCAATTATGGCAAGTATTAAATTCCCAGCAGTTACCACCATAAAATTGCACCAATTTGCCATTTATTATGCAAATTAGGTCTTCCTTTACATAATCGATATCTGCCAATGATCTTGTCGTTCTCACTAACATATGTCTATAGAGTTTTATAGCCCTAATATGAAATACAGCAGATTTATAGAATTTCCTCATTAATTATGCAAATTAGATCCTGATTTGCATAATTGTATTTTGATTATGTCAAGCATCACTTAAGCTACCTACATACCAAAAATCATGATGATCCATCAAATGGTTGTTCAGTTATCCTCTCTCGAAGATTGTCAAAGAAACCATCCTGCAGTTTCAGAACAAGCTGCTAGGGGGCCCAAACTCACGTGACTTCTTTCCGAGGACAAGAGCTACCAACCATCCAAAATTCATGACCCTAGCATGTCCAGATCGCGAGATATCAAAACCAGAAGTTGCGCTGCAGTACCAAGGGAAGCCACTAGGGGGGGCAAAATCTAATCATTTCCAGTTTTAGTCACACCCTACCAACACACCAAGTATGAAACCAATCCATCCAGGCATTCTTGAGTTATCTTGTTGACCAACAGACGGACAGACGGACAGATAAACGCAACTGAAAATATAACCTCCATGACACATTTCATGGAGGTAATAACCTCCATGACACATTTCATGGAGGTAAATATAACCTCCATGACACATTTCATGGAGGTAATAAAAGAAGTTACAACGCATACTAACTGTGTTACTGTGGTCATATAAAATATATGAAGAGGTGTTGTACGCAAGGAAAATTGGAACTAGCTAGGTACTCCAACAAAACGTACAAACTGGTATGATAGGAAAAAGTTACTCAAATCTTTTTAGTTATTTGAGCAGCCTTGGCTGTATGTTCAACCAAAATAATGAATAACGTGAAGATTTATAGATATTCAAACTTCTTTTTTACAGGAACAGCGCCGTCTTGCGACCCAAGGACGATGTTCACATGTGTCAGAGCTGTCCTGGGTGAGTGTTCTATTGCTCACACAAACTCACTACAATATTCCGGCACCGAGGTCACTGACGTTTTCATGGATTAATAAGCATGCTCTCAATTCAAGAATGAATATCTCTTCGATGTCATTGTGGTAAAATACGATATGACCGATTCTACGATCGACTGAACCTGTTCTCCGCCTCCTGACGGTCCCAGCACAGGTGATCACGGGAGACCTGAAGTGTGACTGCCCCGTCCCCTGCAGAATGACGTCATACAGCACGTCCCTGTCCTTCGCGGGATTTCCCAACAAACACACCCGGAACTACCTCGCCCCGCTGCTGGGGATGGAGCCAGGCTACATGGCGTAAGTTTGGAATCCCCAAGATCCTTCGGTGGCTGCAACACAGTATCAAATTAGTGAAACAGGATCAAATTGGCCAGGCAGTTTCCACTCAATGATCCTCAATACGTCACCCGATTGGCGTAAAAAAGATACCGGATCAAAAAAATAACAGAACATTAATGAGTAGACCAACATTTTCCCACAGCTGTTTTTTTCTATTTGCAACGTGTTCGTTTTAGGGACAACGGGGTCGTCTTCAGCGTGTTCTACGAGAAATTGAACTATCAAAAAATCAGGCAGCTGAAAGCCATGGACGAAGGACAGCTGTCAAGTACGTGATAATGAACTTGAAACTTTTCTGTCATTTGTCGCCGACTTCCTTAGAAATATCAACATTTAAGTTGAATAATATTACTTCAAAGTTCAAAACTGTGTTGTGTCTCTTTTCTTGCAAATTTTCCTGAATTTCGTAACAAATAATGCCTGGTCAGGCTAGTATTGAATTCAGACTTAAGAAGTTAAGTGACTTTACAATGAGGAGGTGTATAAACTTGTAATTCTGCATTTTGTCATATCATAAGCCCACGCGGTTGTCTTATATGCCCACACGGGCTGGACGCATAAAACATCCATTCATTCACCAACCGTACGCTAATGTGCACCCCCCCCTCCCAAGGTAACATAGGCGGGATGATGGGGCTGTTCCTGGGCGCCAGCGTGCTGTCCCTGCTGGAGGTGTGTGAGTACCTGCTGAAGCGGCTCCTGGGCTTCCTGGGGAGAACTCGGAACGCCGGGGTGTTTCACGTTCAAACACAGGAACCAAAGTCAGCCACAGAAAAAAAGGCATTAAACTGATATGTATAACTCCTTCAGCTGAGTTATAACGTTAGACCTTAAGAAAGTCGCTGTACTTTGTTGTGTCAATAAAGTTCCCTATGTCAAATCTTTATGGGAATATGATAGATGTACATATTTATTGTCTATTATAAGATGCCGACTGAATGCTGTTCCGTTCGTGTCGTTAGTTACCTGCATGTAGCACCCAAGTCTTGAGCTAAGTTCGTTGCTGTTGTTTTTGTTATCTTTGTTACGAAACCTTTGTTTTGATTAACGATAGATATACTTTAATGATGTTGTGTCATCTCCCTACTTTTTACTGAAAGTCTTATGTGTATAATTTATCATTGTTTTCCTTTTTCTGGTTACTTTATACATATTTGTTAACTCTGGTTACTTTATACATATTTGTTAACTCTGGTTACTTTATACATATTTGTTAACCCCTCTATGTGACTTGTAACCACTTGTTATGTATTGCAAGTGCTAGCCCTTCGTACTAGCCCTGGCTGTGTAGAGTGAAAGTGAGAATAAAAAAACACACCTGGCAATACTTATATCATGCTAACTGTGACATTATGGTGTCATAATAAATATGGAATATGGCCTTCTGATTGGTCAACGCCACCTGGTTATATGATAATAATGAATAAAAAGGAGATGAGATCCTCAGTTTCTTGTTTAAGTTTTATTGCTTGCATGCTCACATTGCTCACAGCCAACTAGATGGTAGTGCACGTTGGTACCGCAATAGATGAATTTACATGAATGGAGACGTCTCCGCCTCCAAGGCGTCGCCAAAAAATAATAGCGTTTTCATGGGAGACAGCAAACAGTGTGTGTGAACAGGCGATATGGACTGTTGTCTCCGACTTGCACAGACACACGCCTGGTTTGATCTGCTAACAAACCTGGACACGGGAGGTTACGCCCAGGCTAGGAAGGGAGTGGGCAAAAATGAACTGAACACGAGTCAACAAGAAAGTGGACACTAAGAATTTATTCTGTGCATGTATGTCTTTATTCTTTAGCATATAACTGGTAAACTGACTTTATGTTAAACATACCAAATTGCCTTTATGTTAAAAATACCAAACTTATACAGGAAGCTGCGTAAGACCAGATTGTAATAAGGTTTGATACACAAACAAACGCACACACACACACACACACACACACACACACACACACACACACGCACGCACGCTCGCACGCACGCACGCACGCACGCACGCACGCACGCACACACACACACACACACACATTGGTATGGAGTAAGATGATCAATATCATGTGAATATGGGGGTAGATGGTGGTCGTCAGATCGCTGTGACACCACTCAGGGGACGTTCTACAAGATACTGATAGAACGTCCTTGGTGACACCGATAAATTTGATCGGGAACTCGAGATCTGTTGTAGACTCAAATATACATGTACTTGACGTCCGCTCTGAATACGTCACCAGGTAACATTAGCTACTGGCATGTGATGTTTGGAACGCCTTCCTTTTCCGCTTCATCAGTAGAGACGTTGACGAAGTTCTAGGTTTTCACGTTCTTGTAAAGCGGGAGAGCTGGGCGGTAAGGGATATGGCCTGGGTGTCATTCCGTGTCAGCTAAGTGCGTTCTTCCCAACTGGACCACTGCTTTAAGTATGCGTGAACGTCCGAACCCGGGTTCACGCTTGATTAAAGACGCTAAAGTTACAAACGGTGACCGTGTTATTGTATTATAAAGCCTGTTGCGTTATCCAGGTGCAGCTTTACACATAGCACAGACCCTGCAATTAGTGAATGTGTGACTGAATGCTAGAATGTTCCATCTACCTAGATTTTGCACTAAAAGTTGATTGTGGACAAGTTTTATTTCCGGAACTGTAGCGTGTCCGTTATGTAGAACGAGAGCATCATGGCGGGACGATATCCCTATACGCCCGATGACGTCATTCCCCGCCTGTCCTCTCGGTCAGTCTATCCTCGGCTGGTCACACGCGCTGAGGCTGTCCAGTCGGACTCCGCCGATGGATCAGCACGAGTACTACTCGAATACGAGCTGTCGTGTGGATTTTCGCGTCATCGTGAATAAGCCCTCGTTAAGATCCTCTTTACACGGCAGAAAAAGCTGTCGCCGCCCTGATATCCCTAGTCCCGTTCTCGCGACGTTTGACGTGTAAAGAAGGCCTGTATCCGGGGAGTAAAAGAGTGAGTGAACAAATTCATTGTGCCGCTGCCCCAGGACCAACCTAGGCCTACCGTGGACCCCAGAACACAGACTATACACAGGTAAGGCGAACAGGACCATCCTCCAGTATTGGCTAGACATTGGAAATGATTTTTTTTTGGGGGGGGGGAGAATAGATCAGAATAGATGTTACAGTGTCAGAATATTTTTCTCTCCGTACAAAATCGGGTACTCAGTACGAACAAACAGCAAAACAGTCAGTTTCACTAAGCTATCAAGTACTCTGCTGGACGTGGCTCGGATGTGACGATGGAAATACTAATCACTGGAAAATTATGTTGTTACAGCTGTTACAGTTTCTTGCTTTGAAGTTCAAAACATGCCAGTTGCCAGGCGTGCTGTCGCTTTTTATTTGCGTCTTTTCTTCATAAGCAAACCCTTGGACATCGAGTAAACCTAATCTAGATGTTGTTTCAGTAGCCATTAGTCGTATGAACCTACGTTTACGATGTTTGGAGGATTTGGAAGTTTTTGGATAATAAACAAAGACAATAAATGAATTATTTAGCATGATTTAGAATTTAGCATGAGTTATCTAGATGAAACGTTAGGTGAGTAGCGTTTGCTTCCTTTTGTTCCATTTGTTTTTGTTTGCCGTCACCGTCCGACGGAGCTGCCAGTTAGTCCCCCTGTCCAGTAGACGGCGATCGCTCAGCAACCAGACAGCGAGCAAATTGAATTAATTGTATTTGTGTGACCCCTTATTTTATATGCGAAATATGATGCGTGATATAGAAATATAGTAAACCGTTCATATAAAAAATCATGCCGTAGGCTATTTGCAGTGTCAAAGAAACTAAAGCTTAAGTAAAGCAATGGAGAACATATTTCTTTTTTTTCTTTCTAAACTACTGTACTACTATCTGCTAAACCTATCCCTATACTGATACTGATCATGACTACTACTAGGTCAGCTGTTGTGAGGCTTGACTTCCTCTTTGTTTCGAAGGCAGTTGATAATGAATAGGGATGTTTTCAAGTACACACATGTGATGGTAACCGCTGTATCTTGATATTCTCAGGTTCGCAGTGGTCTTTCTCGTCCGCTTCACCGCCCTTCGTTCAATCAGTAACATTCCGCCATGTCGCCTGAGGACGACAAAGAGTCCCCAGAAAAGGCGTTCGCCGGTAATACTAGCCTTCATGGATTCAACAGGGTATGTGTTCCTACGTTTATGACAAAGGTGAAATATGGGATGGGATGGAAAAATTGCATCAGTTTTGGCTCTGGGGGAAGGGATACATAAATAAAAGGATTCAGATGGTTGTTTCAGTAAATTGCATTACTTCTGGCATGGCCTGGTTACCAAACCTATTGTAGCTCCCGAGTCCTACATCCTCTCTGCAAATATTTGCGGAGAGGATGTAGGACTCGAGAGCTATAGGTTTGGTAAGCAGGCTACTTCTGGCATTATCCTTTTTCTTTTGCCAACAGGCCTTGTCAGAAAGACATGTAACAGATAACAGGTGGTTTTTGTTTTCGCACTTGACAGACGATATAAAGAATTACTGCAGATTACACCGGAGCTTACATTTCATCAAGTCATGATTATTCTTCACAATGTCGACAGGCTTAAGTCTAAGCTCCCCTGGAAATGACCTCGGTGAATAATTGATATCCATCTATCATTTGTTTACATTGTATAAGTAACTAACATTAAAGGTAGTAGAATATGGCGCTTTGGGAACCATGTTTTTTCTAGAACTTATTAGGCTCAATTTCCACTAGACGGCGATCGCTTAGCGACTACTGAGCGACCACAATTTTATTTGTGTGACCCTTGATTTTATGATTAATATGTGATGCACAATGTAGGTGTAGGCAAAACTAGTTCTTTGCCTTCGCCAAGAAGGTTATGTTTTCAGTAGCGTTTGTCCGTTTGTTGGTTTGTTGGTTTGTTGGTTTGTGAACAGCATAACTCAAGAAGCTTGATATGGATTGTCATGAAACTTGGTAGGTGGGTAGGTCTTGATGAGACCTAGAAATGATTAGATTTTGGGCCCCCTGGCGGCTTTTGTTGGTACTGCAGCAGAACTTCCGGTTTTGATATCTCGCGATCTAGACGTACTAGGGTCACGAATTTTGATTGGTAGATAGCTCTTGGGGTAGGGAAGAAGTGACATGAGTTTGGGCCCTCTAGCAGCTTGTTCTGGAACTGCAGGAGCGTTTCTTGATAAATCTCCGAAGGTGCATAACTCAAGAACCGGTTGACGGATTGTCATGATTTTTGGTATGTAGGTAGCTGAAGTGATGCTTCACATAATCAGATGACAATTATGCAAATCAGGAGCTAATTTGCATAATTAATGAGGAAATTCTATAAATCTGCTTCGTTTGATAATAGGACTATGAAACACGTGTGACATGTAATTGAGAACGAGAAAAACATCCGAGGATATAGATTATGTAAATGAAGACCTAATTTGCATAATCAATGGGAAATTTTTATTATTTCATAGTTGTAATTGCTGGGAATTCTATACTTGCCGTATTGGAAGTTAAGTGAAGGTGAACATCAATGAAGATAATTTATTAACATCATGACCTCATTTGCATAATTTATGAGGAAGTGCTAGAATAGCCTATTTTGTTAAGATAAGGTTATCATTGGGGGGGAGAATATGATCCATATGATGTAATCTATTCAAATGACTCTGTTATTTGCGAAATCAATGATCAAATTTGTATAATTCGTCAACCGTCAATTTGTTAACATCATTTGGCGAAGGTATGAGATCGTGGAACTCTTGTTATGTATGAAATCCGTTTGGGTGATCTTTGTTGGTCGCTTATCTGTCGCGACTACTAGTGGAAAGGGGATGGAAATGACCACAAACCGATGGACTCTGACGAAGGAAAACATCATAGGCTGCTGCACATGAGTGAATTCGAATGAAAAGCGAGTAGGTACAATCAAACATAGACCGACAAAAATACTCTGTGCTTTTTTTTCTTTTATGCAATATGGTCATAAAAAAGTACAAGTGTCTTAAAGTCAAATCTATTTTTTGAGATAGACAGTTTTTTATCAACGTTTCTACATCTGATGTGCTGCTCTCGTCAGTGCGCTGGGCTTAGTCTCTACCAGACTCCTTTGCAGGCTGAATAAATAGTAGAAATCGGCAAAGGGGGAAATCATTGGCCAGAGGAGTTGGCCGGCCATAGAGGGTCCAGTTTGCCTGCACGGATTAGTCTCTACCAGACTCCTTTGCAGGCTGAATAAATAGTAGAAATCGGCAAAGGGGGAAATCATTGGCCAGAGGAGTTGGCCGGCCATAGAGGGTCCAGTTTGCCTGCACGGATTATAGTCTCTACCAGACTCCTTTGCAGGCTGAATAAATAGTAGAAATCGGCAAAGGGGGAAATCATTGGCCAGAGGAGTTGGCCGGCCATAGAGGGTCCAGTTTGCCTGCTGGTGTGTACGTAACACGTAGCCAACCTGTTCCCCCATCTCGTGGCCCAGATCGCCAGCTCTCCGGGCGGCTCCCCCCGGGTCCTGTGGGTGATCGCCATACTCGGCTCCTACACTGGCTTCGGGTACATGTTCGGCAGCATGTGAGTATCTGTCAATATCTACTTATGTCTTCCCTCTTTCGTGTCTCATGTCTCTTGGCTTCCAATATTGGCTGCATTGTTCTCTCAACACCAGTAGTATTTATGGTACCAAGGCGAATGTTATTTACAGACTCAAATGTGAGGAGCCCAATTGTAACAACACCTACATCGGAGAGACAAGTCGACCGCTTAAAGTAAGGTACAAAGAACATTGCCGACCTAGTGCTAACGGCTACTCCTCAGCTATTTTCCACCACCTACAACACAACCAGGGTCACTCTTTCAAACTCGAGTCCACGGATGTCTTAGACCGCGAAACACGCTGGTGGGAACGGGGTGTTAAAGAGGCAATATATGAAAGAATGTACAACCCCACCCTCAACAGGGAAGGGGGGCTACGGGTCGATCTTTCCGGCACTTGGGATTTGGCACTCCCAGCCCCGAGGACAGACAACACTTAAGCTCCTGTCCTGTATAACAGGAGCTTTCAGACTAATTTGCATCATCTTGTCTTGACTTGTCTGACTTTTGTTCCTTTTTCGACTTCCAAAAATTTGTCTTCACTTTATTTGCATATCAATCAACAGGTTGTGTATATAAACCTGCTTTCCCCTCTGGTCTCTCAGTCACTGACGAAAGCTAGTGGATACTAGCTGAAACGTCTGACGTTTTCAAAATCATATCCAGTTGCTTGAGTAACTGTTTTTTGGCATATCGTATTACCTGGATGTCTAACCTTCATCGACGTATTAATGGTACTGTCTTCATGACCAGGATGGCCTCCTACTTCAAGTACGACACCATCACCGACACGACGTTGGAGTTTGCCGATGAGTTACTATTTCCGGCGGTCACAATCTGCAACATGAACAAGTAAGTATTTTTCCAAGTACCCCTTTTTACTCTACGGTGATCACTGAGAGACCGTTGAGAGCCCAGAATGTGTGTTACCCTGGATTTTGACATTGAAATATGATGCACTATGCAAAAGTACGATTTAAAAGACAAAACGTAAAGAAATGTTCTTTATGTATTAATAATCGTGGAGCTAAAGATGGTGGCTAATCAGGCGCTCAGCAGTCGCAGCCACTAGTGTGGGTTAAGGGTTGTAAGCTGTATCTTTGTCGTTCTCTATTCAGGAATATACAATGTGCCTGTACTCCTTTTCAATCTCTCCTGAATTGTGTCCGGTATAGCCTTTTAGATATGACATACACTGTAACCATGGCCCTGTCGCTGTTGTTGTCGATTTATTGTCCATGGTGCCTCTTTGAGACTCCCTGGCGCCATCATCTCTGTATCATTTCTAGTGGCTTTGTTTGGCTTATATGTACCATAACGTTGTACTATAGCAGTGTGTTACCATATTTGGGCATGAGTCATCAGAATGGTATGCAGAGCAAGCAACCAATAGGCACACAGCTTTCCTCTATTCTTCTTGCTGATTGGCTGTTGAGATTTGATTGGGTTAACTCAATTAGCACTTGTACAAAGCCACGCCATATTGACAGAAAAAGGCGCCAGATTGGTAGAGACACACAGAGTAACTTGGAAATGGTGCAAACGTTCGTTGTACAGTGTTCCATCTGTATTCGCAAGCACGTAAATGAGCTGTATGTAACCTTTGTACAGCTAGCTGTAAGCTTTCCAATCTATCGTGGTTACGCCATTTTTGCTTCCTGGTAATACCTCACTCTACGATATCGACACTCCTTGGAAAAACACCTCAATCCTTGAATTCTATCATCACGTATGCCTCAATCATGAAATGTTTCTGAGTTCTGGTCTCCTGACACAACGTCGACGTTTTCCCCTGTGGCAGGTTTGACTCTGACAAGCTGCAGGTGGCGGACTGGTCGTACCTGTCCCTGTTCCTGTACGGCATACAGGCGGACATCCCCACCATACTGGCATTAGGCGTGCCGCTCGATGAAACCGTCAACAGCACTATGACGGTACGCACTATGACCACCAGAGCCTATTGGACACTGTTGGTTACGACTCAGTGACACCGAAAGAAAGATGTCTTTGCAGATTATGTGATTAGCTCGTCCTACTTCACGTCTCTACTATACTCTGCTTAAGCCACACCAATTTAATCTGTTGGTTCTCGGATTTTTTTTGTCTGAAAAAAATGTGAAGCGACAGAGCAAAAAAGATAAAAACAGGTCTTATTTTTTAAGGCATCCTATTACAGCCCCAAATGCTACAATATGAGCCGTGAGGGCAACACAAAAGGCTGGATTAAAATTTAAACAATTAATTTTGAACTTTTAATCAAACCACTGCATTGATAGATGGAAAACTGTAAGGAAGAAAAGAACTTTCCTCAACTGTCAGGGGCAAAATATGAGAATATTTGAGTTGATTCAGAACCAGAATTTTTGCAAATCAGAAGTAAAAGAAGAGGCGAATCCGAGAACCAACAAATTAAATTGGTGTGGCCTTACCAGTCCAGACTCCGGTTTTAGATCGTATCACTTCGTATCACTCTCTCACTCAGCAATGTCTCATTTTACTTATTACATTGTAACCTCTTTACACTATCGTTAATAGATGTGTCATGCAATAATGGGTTCACATCTCGCCACCAAACAGGGCGTAAAAATTGAGGACCTCGTCTTGGCAAAAGGTTTCAACGTTTCGCCGAATCGCATGTCGCTATGCTGGTGGAGAGGCACTAACTGCAGTGAGCGGGTAGGTCGCTAGAGGCGCTATAACTAAGTCACAGTCTTTTTCACAATCAGCTAGCTAGTTATAACGCGTTTAACAGATCAGTGGCTGGGTAGGGAATTTTCTGGTAGAATATCAGAATCATAGCAAGGTTGTTTTTTTCACTCTCGATCTGGTCGACCTTATAGTCTCATTAGGTCACTTGACGATAGGTTAAAGGTAGGAAGTTGATATCGTCCACTGTTCATGCTATTCTCTGATTGGCCACTCTTCCATGTGACATACTCCCACCTGCAGAACTTCACCCACTCCTTCGGTCACTACGGAAACTGCTACACGTTTAACGCAGACGCGGACAACCCGCTGAAACAGACCATGCCGGGGGCTGTCAACGGGTTCATGGCGTTCGTCGACATTAAAGAAGTCAGTGGTTATGAATGTAACTAATCTAAACCCAGAACGAATGCCCAGAAAAAGAGATTTCTGTACAGGATGGCTAGTGCCTGGAACGAGATGTTGTTGTAATGATGTATTGATGTATAGAACCCTTGTAATGATGTATATAGACGTTGTGTGTTAGTATTTTTGCTACTGTTAGTTTATGTTTGATATATTCCCTGTGTGTCGTATGTGTGTACATGTCAGAATGGACCACAGGAAGTATAGTTACAGTTTGTACGCTAATTATGGATCCTAATTAAGTCAAGTCAAGTGATGTCATCTTTCACCATACAGAGGGCCTGGATGGCGTCGATTTTACAATCACAGTTCTTTAATCAATTATTTCACCACTAGTGTCTCGTTATATGGGTAAATTCTATGATGAAGGAAATACTAGTACTTTTTGTTTTGGTTGTAGGTACGGATGCAGCATGTTTATTTATAAGTAATCATAAATATAATCCAACGATATCTGTAAAATAATGGTTTTTGTTTACCATCCATTTCACCGTACTGTGGGGTAATTGTTTTTCTTGTACTCATGGCCATCACACTTTGGACAGGACAAGTACACGGAGAGTTTCCTGGTTAGCGGGAATGCCGAGGTCGGGCTGAAGCTCCTGGTTCACGACCCGCGGGAGCCGCCCATGATGGACACCCAAGGCATCGCCCTCGCGCCCGGCAACCACGCCTTCATCGCCATCAAGCAGATATTGGTGAGTCACCGCATTCTCATCTATCCCTTGGTCTGATTATCCGACCGTTGTGGCACCCAGGATGACCTGACATACAAATGATCCAGTTCTCTCCACCCTTCTCTCTTCTTTACCATTGCCTGTCCCTCTTCCCTCCACCCTTTAATAGTGGTCGCCACGTAACACGGCCGTTAGGCCACTTCTAGGTTGTGAATGGTTTGATCCACTCACGTAGGTTACGGGTCACCGAATAGGACTGTAACAGCAACTCTTCTCCCTGAGTCAGAAACATCATGATTGAGACCAGCCCAATTTCTTACAAGTAGTGAGGACTAACTGACCCAATAGGAGAAGCAGGGGTTACGAAGGCTGGTCGGGAAAATTCCCTACCCCATTTTTAGGCCGTTCTCTACTGTTCTTTGCATGATGGTTGGCTAGGCCCGATGACGTGACACAATAAGCTATGAAACAGTAAACACATCATCATATCCTAGATCTTAAATCATTTGGGCAATTTTGTGCACAAAGACTGTCAGTAGAACCCCAGTAATCACCACGCGGAATTTTCGACCGAATCTCAACCGGGACGGAGGGCGGTACCGACTTCGGACGAACTTTGACCCAGTGCTGACGCCACACGTGCGGAAAAACCACGTGTCTACAGCGCTTGGATCAGATAGTTGATGAAGACCGAGAGATTTGGTCGAAAATCAGGGTTTGTAAAATTCTTTTGACTTGGAGAACAGTTTATTTTTAACTCTGTACAGTTCAGTTTTCACTATGTAATTTCCCAACTCAGATGAACTTTCGCGCCCTTTCCTCAGTACGAGAACCACGTCCCTCCGTGGGGGGTCTGTAAGGACCTGCAGCTGGAGTATTACGACACCTACACGCTGAACGGCTGCTATCTGGAGTGCAGGAGTAAACACTTGGTTCGGAACTGTAGCTGCAGGCCGTACGACCTACCGGGTAGGACATGCATGAATCAGTTCTTACGACCTTTCTAATAAAATAATCCTGGTACTATAAGCTCCACGTGTTCTTACATTTACAACTGTCTTAAGAAGCGAGAAGAAGCAGAACCTGTACATATGTAGTTTTACTATAGATATATTTTAGTCTACCATCGCTATTTGCAATGACCTGTACTTAGTTCGCGATGAGCAAAAATGTAGCAAAAATGTATTTCATTCAATATTTGTCGTGGTCGTGTGGCGAAGCGGCAGAGTGTTCGACTCGGAACCAGGAGGTCCCGTGTTCGAGTCCTGACATGCCACCGATCTTGTGCCCTTTGGAAAAGCACTTGACACGATATTCCTCACTTAACTCAAGTGAAAACGAGTATTGTACTGTCCTGTATTTGTACTCTGTGTTGGTGGTGACAAAAAATAAGTCGATATAACTTGAGTGTGCTGTCGCCATGTTTGGTTATAATATTGGTCTGTCAGAAAAGAAAAGGGTTCGCCCTTTATCTTTTTTGTATTCTTCATAACAGTCACATGTTATTTCTTTTATTGCAACATTTGATGACGAAAATTACAAGATTGCAACATTTGATGACGAAAAGGACAAGATGACGGCATACTCAAGCTAAAGCTTATGTTCGTGTCGCCATCTAACATTACAAACGTACATCAAAACAAATACAGACATGCAAAGCTTAATGCTAACAAAATACAATAAATAAGGTTACAGCGCATACTAACTGTGTTACTGTGGTCATATAAAATATATGAAGAGGCGTTGTACGCAAGGAAAATTGGAACTAGCTAGGTACTCCAACAAAACTTACAAACTGGTATGATAGGAAAAAAGTTACTCAAATCTTTTAAGTAATTTGAGCAGCCTTGGATGTATGTTCAACCACAATAATGAATAACGTGAAGATTTATAGATATTCAAACTTCTTCCAACTGATCTTTTTTTACAGGAACAGCGCCATCTTGCGACCCAAGGACGATGTTCACATGTGTCAGAGCTGTCCTGGGTGAGTGTCCTATTGCTCATACAAACTTACTACAATACTCCGGTACCGAGGTCACTGACGTAAGCAAGCATTCTATCAATTCAATAATGAATATTTCTCCGATGTCATTGTGGTAAAATACGATGTGACCGATTCTACGATTGACTAAACCTGTTCTCCGCCTCCTGACGGTCCCAGCACAGGTGATCACGGGAGACCTGAAGTGTGACTGTCCTGTACCCTGCAGAATGACGTCATACAGCACGTCCCTGTCCTTCGCGGGATTTCCCAACAAACACACAAGGGAATACCTCTCCCCGCTGCTGGGGATGGAGCCAAGCTACATGGGGTAAGTTTGGAATCACAACACAGTATCAAATCGGTAAGACAGAATCAAATTGGCCAGGCAAAAAAATTACAGGGCATTAATGAATGACCTTTATTGTACACACATACCCAAGTACAGGTCACAACAAAAGAATGAAATACAGATAACGTTACAGATATACATTGTCAAGTAGCTACAATTAAGTAAATTCGGTTTCTTCTCGTTTCTTAAGTAATGGTAAAAAGGTAGAAACAGATATCTTTCACAATAGAAGGTTTGTCTAAGTTCATTACCTTCGCCAAGAAGGTTATGTTTTCAGGGGCGTTCGTGTATGTGTGTGTGTGTGTGTCTGTCTGTCTGTCTGTCTGTCTGTCAACACGATAACTTGAGAAGGTCTTGATGGATTGTCTTGATACTTGGTAGGTGGGTAGGTCTTGATGAGACCTCAAAATGATTAGATTTTGGGCCACCTGGCGGCTTGTCATGGTACTGCAGCAGAACTTCCGGTTTTGATATCTCAAGATCCAGACATGCTAGGGTGACGAAATTTAGATGGTAGATAGCTCTTGTGCTGGGGATAAAGTGACATGAGTTTGAGCCCCCTATTTGCTTGCTCTAGAACTGCAGGGGGGGTTTAATGGACAAATGTTTAAAGGGGGATAACTCAAGAACCGATGGATGGATCATCGTGATTTCTGGTATGTAGGTAGCTTGAGTGATGCTTGACATAATGATATTACAATTATGCAAATATGGATGTAATTTGCATAATTAATGAGGAAATTCTATTCATCAGCTGCATTCCATAATAGGAAGTTCAAGCTTGTGACATGTTATTAAGAATGAGAGAAACACAGGCAGATATCGATTATGCAAATGAAGACTTAATTTGCATAATTAATGAGAAAATATTATAATTGCATAGTGGTAACTGCCTGGAATTTTATACTTGGGGTGTTTGAAAGTTAAGTTAAGGTGAACATAATTAAACATAACTTATTCAAATAAGCACCTCATTTGCATAATTTATGAGAAAATTTCATCATGGCATTCTTTGTTAAGATAAGACTGTCTTTTGGTGGAGAATATGATCAACAGATATAATTCATGCAAATGAGGATCTTATTTGCATAATTAGGGGGATTAATATATAATTTCTTAATCATAAAAGCTAACATCATTTGGCGAAGGTATGAGATCGTGGAACTCTAGTTAGAAATATGAATTTATCTGCACATTTAAAAATGTATGAAGATGGGGAACATAGATTGTATCAGATTATAAAGGAGAGGGGCAAGGAGACTTTATGTTGGCCGCCTGTATCCAAAGTTCGCCCCGATTATAGTTTACATTTTACTAATGAGAAGACGAACATTTTTCCACAGATGTTTTTCATTTGTAACATACAGTATTCGTTTCAGGGACAACGGGGTCGTCTTCAGCGTGTTCTACGAGAAATTGAACTATCAAAAAATCAGGCAGCTGAAAGCCATGGAAGAAGGACAGCTGGCAAGTACGTGATAATGAACTTGAAACTTTTCTGTCATTTGCCGCCGAATTCCTCGGCTAAAAATATCATCAGAAAGTTGACTAATGTTATTTCAAAGTTCAAAACTGTGTTGTGTCTCTGTTCTTGCCGATTGTCCTGAATATCGCCGCAGAAATAATGCCTGGTCAGGCTAGTACTGAATTCAGACTTCAATGGATTTTTAATGAGGAGGTATATAAACTTGTAATTCTGCATGTTCTTCCAGGTGTCTTATAAGCCCACATGGGCTGGGCGCATAAAACATGTATTCATTTACCACCATTCGCCATGCATTCGGTAGGTCATGGGTTCGATTTCCGGCCAAGTCATACCAAAGACTTTAAAAATGGTAAAACTGCTTTCTATGCTTAGCACTCAGCATTTGAGCATGAGTATGGTAGTTAACGCACACCACTACCAGAGAACTAACCCCATACTGTAGTGACTGTTGTGTGTGGCCCGGAGCTATTGAAAACGGAGATGAGCGCCGCCCTATGCGTCACTTGACGCGGGAAAGCTCTTCAACTTTTTTAAACGTACGCTAATGTGCATTATCATATAGCCAGTAGCCGTCGACCAATCAGAAGGCTCCATTTCCCATGGGTTATCAGGCCATAACCTAAAAAGTGGGCGGTTATTCACTTTTTGGAGTACCATTATACTAGTTTCACTCGGTGGCTTATTCGGTGGTTATCGCTCCCGACCAGGGGTTATCTCACCATATACACCTCGGGGCGGGGCATTAACCCTTTATTCTGTATTGGATGGTTGGGTGTATGTATGTATTGCTTGGATATATGAATAAAAAAGTGTGCATTCACCCCCCTCCCCAGGTAACATAGGCGGGATGATGGGGCTGTTCCTGGGCGCCAGCGTGCTGTCCCTGCTGGAGGTGTGTGAGTACCTGCTGAAGCGGCCCCTGGGCTTCCTGGGGAGAACTCGGCACGCCAAGGTGGTCCATGTTCAACCGCAGGAAACCAAAGTCAGCCACAGCCTTACACAAGTGAAGGTCTACGTATCCAAAATCCTCTGTCGTGATAAAGAAAAAAGCATTAAACTGATATGTATGACTAAAGATGACATCCGTCATCTTCCTTCAGCTGAGTTATAACGTTAGACCTTAAGAAAGTT